CTGCAGATGCCACAGAAGAGGTGGGAAGTGGTTGGAGTTCAGAACAGTTCCCAGTAACAAAACCCTTGATGGTTTGGCCCCACTGAAGGATGAGATGGCTTAGAGTGGGAAAAAGTCAGAGGCCACAGATGGAGGATCAGCCCAGGTGGAGCTTTCTAAGTTGCATTATTTTTTGTCCTTCTTTTCTGGAAGGCTTATTACCTGTTCTGTGAATATATAGAGCAGACACTTGGCAGGGCAGACCCAGTGCTAACCCAAAGTGGTGTGATAATATTAAGGAATGGGGGCTTGGAAAGCTCCTAGAAAAAGTGCAGACTCATCAAAGCTGGCCAGTAACTGAGCATTCCTTTCCTACCTCTCCCTCTGACCTCTGAGCTGGGCAGTTACAACCAATATCATGCACCTGTAGATTCCCTCCACACTGTAAGGCAGAAATCCTGTAAGGGTCTCTGGGGGCTCATAGGCTAGGGACTGGAAAGAAGAGTTGACTCAGCTCAGCTCTAGAGGCTCTGTACTCTAAGTCCTTTCAATCCAGAAACCCTGAAACTCATGTAGAGTTTCTGGGCTGACACATCTTCCCAGGAACAAAGAGTTATATAGAAAAACTATCGCATAGGCCAGGCGTGGTGGCTTACGCCTGTAATCCCGGCATTTTGGAAGGCAGAGGCGGGAGGATAACCTGAGGTCAGGAGTTTGAGACCAGCCTGGCCAACATGGCGAAACATCATCTCTACTAAAATTACAAAATTAGCTGGGCATCATGGTGCATGCCTGTAACCCCAGCTACTCAGGAGGCTGGGGCAGGAGAATCACTTGAACCTGGGAGGCAGAGGTTGCAGTGAAGTGAGATCACACTATTGCACTTCAGCCTGGGCAACAATAGTGAAACTGTCAAAAAAAAAAAAAAAAAAAAAAAGGCCAGGCACGGTGGCTCATGCCTGTAATCCCAGCACTTTGGGAGGCTGACGTGGGTGGCTCACCTGAGGTCACGAGTTTGAGACCAGCCTGGCCAACATGGTGAAACCCCGTCTCTACTAAAAATACAAAATTTGCCTGGCATAGTCTCACATGCCTGTGGTCCCAGTTACTCAAGGGGCTGAGGCAGGATAATTGCTTGGACTCAGGAGGCAGAGCTGCAGTGAGCAAGATCGAGTCACTGCACTCCAGCCTGGGTGAAAGAATAAGACTCTGTTTCAAATAAATAAATAAAAAGAAAATCTATTGGATAGATTGGATATGAAAACATTAACTGCTCAAATGAATAATTCAGTGAAATAGGTTGGATATTAAAATGGATAGAGTTGAAAAAGCAATTACTGACCTGAGGAAATGAGTCTAAAGCATTCAAAAAAGTAGACCGGGCGAGGTGGCTCACGTCTGTAATCCCAGCACTTTGGGAGGCCGATTAACCAGGCATGGTGGTGGGCGCCTGTAGTCCCAGCTACTCGGGAGGCTAAGGCAGGAGAATGGCGTGAACCCGGGAGGCAGAGCTTGCAGTGAGCCAACATTGTGCCACTGCAGTCCAGCCTGAGTGACAGAGCGAGACTCCGTCTCAA